ATATATATATATATATATACATACATATCCTGGATAATTTTTGGTTCATTTTTCCTCCAGGTGACTGTGACTAACACTGGCGATGGATGTGCCACACACTTTCCAGGAACATCCAGTGCCGCTCCGATTGCTGCAGGGATTGTAGCTCTTGCCTTAGAAATAAAGTGAGTACCTGTTTTTTTTTCAGTCACAGTGCACCTTCACACCAGCGAAACCACTATCAAAGTGAAGAATATGGCGTTAAACTGGGTAGGTGCTAAAATCTAGGCAGGCTTGAACATAATTTAGAAAATCAAGATACGACCAAATCAGCCTAGATCTAGCATCACCCCATTATTGAAGAAATTATTGGGGTTATGTTACATACTGATTTTAATTACACTACACATGGTATAGTTTGTTTTATGATAGAACTGTAATGACTGTTAAATGTGACTTTTGATTAACTTGATGATTCTATATTAATAGCTACATGCCTGGTAACAAATTAAACACAACTGAATTTTTATTTCTTCATTAGAACAGATTATTATTGCATGGGGGTTGTGGCTCCAAAGTATATGGACCCCCTCCACTGATGACATAATGAAATAGGCGGAGCCGTGCCCCGGAGCTTTTGTTAAAACTCGTTGCATTTCCTGGTTGCGGTCTGAACTCTCGGTGATTCATTAAAGACCAGACTTCAGCCAGAATCGCTCTTGGGGTTTTTGTATGGTTACTCTAATGATTCTGTCCATGCATTTGAACATTCTCCGTTTGGTTTAGCACACAGTCTGGAAATGAACATGAATAACTTTATTTTCTTTCAACATTAACAAATAAAACAAAAATGTTGAACAGTTACACTAGGGGCTGGGATGTGTCCAGGTTCTCAACAGGAAAAGGGTAAAATGCTCCTCGGGTGAGTCTGCCTCAGGTGGAGGAATTTAAGTATCTTAGAGTCTGGTTCATGAGTGATGKTGGGATGTAGTGGAAGATGAATTGATGGATCAAGTCAGATCAGCCTTTTATTTAAAACAAATTTTCTTCCAAGTTAATGATTGGTCCCACATTAATTTGTAACGATTCCCAACTGTCAACCCCAAAGTCTTGGGTGATCTTCCAATGAGGAATGACCCTGACCATTAAATATCAGTCTACTGCCCAACTCTAGTGGGTTCATCATCCTTTATAACAGGGGCCAAACTGCAGTCGTTCTATTCATTTTCTGTTCTCCTGGCAGGAAGAGAAAGTATTTTTAATTTGATCATGTAGCATCATCACAGCCACTGTATGTCTTGATTTAATTATCTTCTACTGTAAAATTTAGCTTTATTTACACTTTACTGACTCACACAAAATGAAAGAAAGCAACAGCATAACATAGCTTGAGAAAAAAACAAGTCTCAGTCAAAAATGTTCAACACAACAACGGCAATAAATGCAACACTCTATTATTGCACACACCTGATAAGATTTATTTAACAGTTTCATAAACTGCTGTTTAGCAGCT